AATATTTTTATTGTTTTTATGAATACATTTTTAAATATATTTTGCGTTATGTTATTGAATTAAAAAGTTAAATTAAAACAATTCATAATTAATAAAGCCTTGAATAAATAAACTTAAATTCTTTTAGTCTTTTAGCATGTTCATTTGTATTTATATGCACTCAATGGTTGAACATAAGGACTATAAATATTTTAAAATATAACTTATACTAAAACTCTCTCAATATTGTGTTATTGTTGGTTATTAACACATAATATGTATATGTACACAATATTACACAATAATCATTAATGCAAATATATTAATTAATTGTATGGTATATTATTATTAAATATTAATAATTATAATATCTAATAAATAATGATTAAGTGCAAATATTAATATAAATATTGATCTATATCAAGAATTTGTACATTCTATGCATTCTATAGAATTTATGCTCAAATAGACTTTTACTAAAAATATCTAAAAATTGATATAATTATTGAATATAATACAATATTATTATTATTGTTATATTATTATTATATTATTACAATATTATTATTATTATTATATTATTATTATTATTAATATTATTATTGTATTATTGAATATATTGAATATAATCCAATTTAATGTTAGTTGTGTAACATTAAAATTGTTCATAAAACAATTTCATAACAATTAATAAGTAATTAAGTATTTATTACAAAATATTATAATTTTCATTAACTAATTATGAATTCATATTCAATGTTTATGATATAAATATTTAAGTACAAAAATGTTATTGAAATTTAGTTTTTATTTGTATAAGTTTGATTAAATAATAAATTAGTATTTCTCATATTAGTTCAGTTTGCTATAACAAAATTACAATGAATTCAAATGTCAATAATAACAGAAGTCTTAGTAAACATGACATACGAGTGACCACTAGTTTGGTATCAATTGAAACATTTATTGCCAAATATTACTGTTTTATATCGCAATCGTATGACGACTACGATAATCGTGTCATTCATACCAAAAGACTTATCATTACTATTGTCCTCAAACTTGGAGTCCTTATATTCACCACAAAATATCTACTTTTAGTCACTCTTAATGTCAATCATCACCAATGGGTCAGATGGTTAACATGTGATGCCAGCCATTTGTTGGGTAACCCTAGAGTAATATCCAGTTTTTTATTTCTGATGGGTTTATTAGTTTTATTAGTCGGAGGTATAATTAACTACAAGGAGGTGTCCGGTGGTCACCATATGATTACATTTTTCAATGAAGTAAAACATAAAACATATGACATTGAATTGATTGCGAAATACCAAATCAGATTTTCAGCAATTGTACATTTTTTAGCCAAATATTTTATTGATAAAAAAGTATTTCTGGCATTCGTTATGTCATGCTTTGTATTACTATTTGGTTCAACACTAATGGCATATATCAATGAATTTAGTAATAGTGAGTCCAACTATACATTATTTGGTGTTATATTTTGGGCAATAATTACACTGTGTTTTTGTGACCAGCTTTTTGTTATAACTATGGCTGGATTTGTATTTTGGGTCTTAACGATAATATATTTTATTTATCAATACAAACAGACTTACGAACAAATGTATTATTTTTCTAATAATAAGAAACGTAAAAATTGTCTAAATTTAACTAATATAATGAACACAATTAATAGCCACAGACTTATTACATTAAAATTAGAGAAACAAAAGGAACTTATGAAAATCATTGTATTTTTCGTGTATTTCATATCCACACCAATCATTGACTTATTAATCAATGTTTCATTTGACATAAACACTACATTCTATTCAAGAATATTCTTTATATCGTTCACAATACTCTATGCAACAATAATATTTATTCTACATTATATGAGTGGTCTAATAACTAAGCATGCTTATATGTCCCGACCATTACTTCATGGTTGTCTCACCAGAATGAGACTTCATGTCAAACACAGACTTAAGATAATGGCATTCAATGAGCAACTGTCCGGACATGACATTGGATTTTACTGTTGGGATTGGTTTCCATTGACTGTCTATGAGTTTTATAAGTTTTGTTTTGGTCTAGTTTATTTTTATTTACTTGCCTGTAATTATTAATTACGAATTAATCTCTTAATGTTATTAGCTATTAAGTATATAAGAAAACAAGTTTATTTAAGAAAAATTCAGTGTTCAATAAATAACCTAATCATCATTGGTCGGAAAGTCTAGCATATAATCTACAGTAGTTCTCAATCACAAGTTAATTAATTAAAAGTACATTTCTATGCTTTTAAATACGAGTATTAATAAAAAGCAATAAACAGATGTATACATAGATATGATGTAGATGTAGATATTATACAACATATAGGTAATATTAATAATTGTAATTATATCAATAACTTCAAAAACATACAAAAGGTTTTCAAAAACTTTAATAAAAAATCAGTTCAACCTTATAAAAACTCTTACGTATAAAATACAGTAAATTTTCAAAAACAAACACAACTTTCATATTATAACCATTGGTTCAACACTTGGATCTTCTGAGTATTGCTTGAAATCCGTAATGCCTTCCCCTTTGAGAAACTCTTCATCGATCAGAAAGTTACCGGTGAAGGAACGGGCGTTTTTGCTGAGTATACCATACGCCGCATCTGCCTGTATGTCCACTTTGCGACACACCTTCCTTATATCATTAGGATCAGCACCGGGAGCCGCCAACTCGACGGCTGCCGTCCAGATGATAGTGCGCGGCCATAGCGTGTTCACCGCAATACCGTCCCCACGAAACTCAGCCGCCATTCCCAGCGCACACATAGACATCCCATACTTGGCTATGGTGTAGGCGACGGATTTCCCGGTGAACCACACGCTGTCGGCGCCCACATTGAGCGGTGGGCTGAGGGTCAGTATGTGAGGGTTTGGTGACTTCTTGAGGTGGGGGATGGCGTACTTGGAGGCCATGTAAGTGCCCCTCGCGTTGATGGTGTTCATGAGGTCGTACTTCTTCATCGACGTCTGTTCCGTGCCTTTGGTTTCAATGAAAAAAGTTTTGCAAAGTTTTTGAGAACATATGAAGAAATGGTATGTTTTGGGCGGACCTACCGGTCAGACTTATAGCACTGGCGTTATTGACGAGTGCGTCCAAACCGCCAAAGTGTTGGACAGCCTTCTGGATGGCACTCTTGAGCTGTTCCTCGTCCCTGAGGTCGCACTGAATGGGCAGACATTTGCCGCCATTGGCCTCCACTGTCATAATCATAGGGTTTATACACTTTTGCCACACTTTAATGATTGAGTGATAGTACGGATACCTTCCTCGGCGGTCGTATATATGGTTCCCTCGAGTTTCGGGTGTTTGTCGGCAGTCTTGGCCGCTATCACCACATTTGCCCCGTCTTTGGCCACTTTCAGGGCAATGGCTTTCCCTATACCACGACTCCCACCCGTGATGAACACCGTCTTACCGGCTAATACCCTGATCAAGTAAATTGAGTATAAGTTTTATACTAACTTATAAAGTATTATAAAAGTAGTTTTATTAAAAGTTTATAAATAGTATACATACCCGGTGTTTAATAAGCCCATGTTAATTGACGGATAAATGGTCTTGGCTATTAGCTAGGCTATTATTATGGGTGAAATTTTTAGTATTTATTGACACTTGTAATGATGTTAGTGTTATTTTGTTGTTTGACACTTAATATTAACATTTGCCTAAACATTAACTTAAAGTTTAGCTAATTTTGATCAAATTGTGTGTCAAAAGTCCGTAGCAAGGTCTTTGTGGACAAAGTTAAAGTGTATTTTGACATGAAAACACACGTCAAACAGCACTCATGTTTGGTGATATTGAGTACAGTATGTTGAGTGCATAAGAGCAACTTAAATAACCTTGGAAACTCTGCATATTAACATGTAGTAAACTCCATCTACTATCTACTGTAATACTGGAATACTATTTATAATTCTGTATGTTACTTCATTTTATTCTGACCTAGCATGGTTTAACTGTTTTATTTATTTAATTGGATACTAGTTGTTAATAGGTTTTATTTTAAATAAATATAAAATAATAAATATTTTAATTAGAAATGCTACAATAGATTTTATAATTAAAATAAATATAAAACTAAATTGTAAATATCAAGATTATATGGCCTAATGTAAATGTAACTTTGATATAATCCAATTGATTTTATATTATAAATTAAATTTTCTGATATAAATTTATCAAGGATTGTCAAAGAATTTTGTTTTTAGTGAAAATTAAGGTTTAGTTTAAAACTATTTGGTGAATACACAGACAGTATGTCTATTGTTAGTTCACTTTTATTTAATTTGTTTGTATTTAATATTGAAAATGATTCAATTAATCAAGATTTAGTCACTTGTCACGTAAATAATCTACATAAAAATAGTGTATATTTGTATTTTAAACATATGAACTGTGTTTATTTTTATTCCCATTAATTAATTAAAATTAGGTACATATATACTAGTTCGTACCATATATCTAAATTATTATTAGATTTTATTATTAGTACAATAAACATTGATTTTAATTAAAATCCAATTTACCACCATGCAACTATTTATCTATTGTAAAATGAACAACCTTGACATTTGTTGTTTATTTAGTATATAAGATAAGTACATGTAACACATTATTATTATTTTATTGTTTAGTAATCAATTTGATATGCATAAAACCTAGACCAGAATCACATTAATTTTTATTGGAAATAAACTCAAATGTCATGTTATTGCTCTAGCTTACATAAATTTACAACTACTGTATTTCTAGCATAATATTTTGACATTTTATTGATGCCTACAAAAACATATACACTCACAAAATAAATTTATTAGCGCATAGTTACGAAAATTAATTTGAACATAATTATCTAAAAATAATTGTTAGTTCAAAATGACTTCATAATTAATTAATATTTAGTATTTAATGGTCGTTTTGACCCAATATTTATAAGTTTAATTACACTTAATCTATTATGAAATAATTAATTTAATTGCAATAACTTGTGCAATCCAAATAATGAAACAAACTTTATTTGGTGTCACACTTAATATCAAAATGTGTCTGTGCAAAATAATGTCGAAAATTTATCAAAAATATCGCAACTATTTAGCAAATAATATAAACCCGTCAATAGGGTTGACCAAAGTCGAGGCATTTTGTGGTAAATATTATGTATTTATATCACAAACATTTGATGATTACATTAATGGCTATATTTCCACCAAACGGCTAATAATTATCATTATATTCCGTATAATTATGTTATTATTTTGTATCAGATTCACAATATTAGCACTTATTGACAACCCATACCTCAATTATTTATTTGCAAATAGCAACTACTTGTTAGGCAACTCCCGGGTCGTATCAGTCCTGTTTGCATTCATGAGCCTCCAGGTGCTAACCGTCGCCGGTATTATTAACTACAAAGAGTTAGTGGGCAAACATCATATGATCACAATTCTCAATCATATTAAGTGCCAAACAATTAGACACCCATTGAATGAGTTGAATGAACATAGGTTTGGATATTACGCCAATTATCTAGCAAATTATCTATTAAATACCCTGTTCATACCATTGTTCATAGTGTTATCAACACTATTATTAGCCACAACTTGCATAGCATATAACGACAACCAATTCTCTCTATTAATAGCCATATTCTGGACATTAATTAACACATGCTTTTCCTATCAGTTTTTCAATGTATTACTACTAGGGTCATGTTTTTGGTACCTGTCCATCATATACGTTAAGTACCAGTTCCATGAATGCAATGAACTATTTAGCAATGTATTATTGACCAGGGACACAAGTTTGTTTATGAATGCTATTCACAGACATTATTCCGTCACTAAAAATGTCTACGAATTGAATGACTTTATGAAAGGCATAATGTTTTGCATATACTTTCTGTCGACACCGGCAGCCAATCTATTCATATACCTGTCCCACGACCCAAACACTGACATATTTGCCAGAATATTCTTTGCATTCCTCAGCTGCCTATTCGTGTCAATACTGTTTACATTGAACTACAGGTGCGCTTCGTTGACCAAAATTGCCCACAAATCTCGCCATTATTTGCACTCATTTCGCGTTAAATGCGATTTAAACACAAGAGATGTTGTCAAATGTATGACGTTTTGTGAGCACCTGGAGGGCCGGGATATTGGCTTTTATTGTTGGGATTTGTTTGCGATGAATAGCAATGAGTTTCTCGACTATTGCTCTAAATTTGTTTATATTAATATATTGATTATGCAATTTATTAAGCTAAATAAATATTATATTAATTAATAAATCATTTAAATACTACGTTTAATGCAAATTCATAATTATATGTTTAGTATAGCATTACAACATATTTGTATAATATTTTAATTAAATTTAATTGTACTAAAATTTAAAAAACTTGTACATGATTTAAAAAAATAGTTTTATTTATATTATGCAGTATTTTTTACCAGTAGAAAAATAATGTACAGGTATACTTCAGGTATAATTCTGACCACAATTATTATATCACTGTACATGTTTTAGTTTCTATATTTAAAATGTAATAAATTAGTATCTATTAATTTTTAATTAATATTTTATTGCAATTAAAAAGTTTGTAGTATTTAATTCTCGTTTCAAATGATTTGAGAAATTTTAAAATAAATTATCTTATTAATAACTATCCTATGTTTATAATTAAAATTATTTTTAAATGTTTTATTTTATTTTACACAATTTTATAAACACTTAATTTACGATGATAAGTTAATTAACTACTATTAACAGTATTTAATAGTATGTTTAATAGATGTTGAATGTATAATCGA